CCCCAAAACCCCAAAACCCCAAAACCCCAAAACCCCTATTATAGAAGCACTTATTGAAATTAGGTGTTCACAATTAATTGTTTTGAGTAATACTCTTCCATTCTGAGTTCTGATTTCTCTTTCACTTCTTCTTCATTAAGATATGTTCCTTTGCCGCATAAGTATAGATCGATATCTCCAGAGTATGCTGAAAGTGTATCAAATGATCCATCTTTTGGAGTAAGTCTGATTTTCCAAGTGCAATATGGACTAAGAATAGGTTCCGCCTTTGAAAGTTTAGTGTAAGCATTATTTCTTTCATCCCCGTTGATACTCCAGTACAACTTTAATTCTCTGCTTTGAATACAGTATACTTTTCTGTCAAATCTGTAATATGAGTCTCCCATATGGGTCATCTCGATGTTGAATCTCTCAAGAGTTTCTTCTAGATCTGCCTGTAGGCTCTCGTCACGGTGGATAAACTTTAGGTCAACAAAGTTAAATTTTACACAAGAATGTCTGCATTGATCAATGCCAGCTGTAAACTCAACTTTTTCACCAGATAAGAGTCTATGGATGTAAGACTGTACTACTTCATTTTCCTTTTTCCAAATACAAAATTGGTCGTTATACTTAGACATTTGAAATTCTTTTATGATTATAGCGACATCCATCTCAGAGATTGACATCATATGATCCTTCACAAGTGTGATGATATTGTTAGCTTCAATGCCCGCCTCTTCCTCAAGCCCTTCAGTCTTGATCTTTTGAAGCTTTTCCTTAACTTCGGGACATTCTCTAGTGAGGAACAGACTTCCAAATGGGAAGTACATATGCTTCACTGCAGACTTCACCTTGTTCTCAAGCTCAATAATTTGACTTTGAGTGATAATCTTCCTTAGTTTCAGAATTTCAGAAGGAACTTCAGAGTGATGTGACAGCTTAGCTAAAGCCCCAATGTACTCATAATTCCTGATCTTGTCCTTCGAGTCTTCGATATGATGGTATATTTTGGTCAGGAAACTTATAGTTGCTTCCATCTTGGAAAAGACATACTCAAACTCCTTGTTCGTTTTGACATCACTTGTGACATTAGTCATATCATTCTTGATATCCTTGAGGTAGTCCAGCATTCTCCACTGCATAATATCTAGGATCACGTGAGATTGGCCTGTGAGTTCACCTTTAAAATTTGTTAATTTGCTTGTCATGGAGTCAACCTGTTCTTTCATGTTATTCTCAATATTCTTCTTCCGTTTCCTTAACTTATCAATAACTGTTTTGTTTAGCTTAATAGCCTTATCCATTTCATCGAGAGCTTTCTGGTCCTTCTGAATTTGATTGTATACCTCTATACTCCCTTTAGCTGTACTGAATCCTATTTCAAATCGAGCATTGATATTTTCCCATCGCTCGGCCTCAGCTTTGAGACAATCTCCTTCTTTTTTAAAGAGGTCTCCAAGTTTGTTATCTAAGTCGTTAAAACTTGCACATGCTCTTTTTACTGCCTTTTCGTCAGTGAAGTCAGAACAGGCATACAAATCTGCACAAGCTTTCTCGTATTTCTCAGCTACGAGCTTACCCTCTTCTGTCTTAGAGGAAAGACTTACAGACTCCATGATTGTTTTATAGGCTTCTAGTTTTGCTTTAGCATCAGCGACTATGGTTTTATTTGTTTTAGTTGTATGTTCTTGATAACTCTTGACAATTTCAGCTCTTGCCTCTAGCGCTTTCAAAGGTAACTGATCAGGATCTTTGAGCAACTCTTCTCCAACAGAAGCTAGAGCAGTAATTCCCGAACCAGCAAGCGCACCTTGTGGACCTGCGATACTCATAGCAGTCCCTGCAACCTTTAAACAACCTAATGATGTCTTCAGAGGTAGTTGTTCAGCAAATTTGGCTCTTGCTTGTTCTAACTTATTTTTGATCAGTATCTGCTTTTGCTATTTCGGTAACTAATTTCTTCATCATTGCATCAATATTCTTATCCACTTTCTCTTCACATATTTTGATTGCTTCATGGAATTCTTTTAAAGAGTTGTTAGCTTCACTGATAATTTGATTAAATTTTTCCTCATTATCTTTCTGCAGCTTATCAATTCTTTCAACATTCTGAATAGACTTCAATTCATCAATATTTTTGATAACTTTTTCTGTGAAATACACAATATCAGTTGTGAGTATCTCAGAGTTTGCACTCCTAAATGCTAATATTCTACTCGATAATGCAGTAAGTAAATGCATAACCGTATAATTATTGTCAGATTCTTGATTTTTATACTTTTCGGTTTGAGTATAAAGAAGCATCACTTTAAATAAGTTCTCGTATAGCATGCTAACATGCTCTTGTTTTTCATCAGCAAGACAATCTTTAACATACTCTATCTCTTCAAACTCATTAGCTAAACTGGTGAAATTGAACCTGAAATGTTCTGATTCGACATTATTTTCTCTTGCTTTAAATAGCTGAGCAATCATATTTGCTTTTTCAGGCTCAAGCCTATTTGATTTACTTTCTAATAACAAAGTAATTGTATATTGAAGGGTCAATAAACCAAGATTCAAATGAACACTAACTGGTGGAGGAGGTAATGTAGGTTCATCCCCCACTATATTGAAGTTTGTACTTCCAATATCTCCCTGACCGCATGAATCTGCGTGAATCCCTTTATCAAATGGATTGTAGCACCATCTGTCTCTCACTGAACTCCAATTTTTAGTAAGTTGCTCAACTAGAACAACATAATTATCAGCTCCGCCATAGCCACCAATGCCCCAACTTCCGTTTTCACCTTTTTCTCCTTTATACCCATTTGAGCCTTGATACTTGATCATTTTTACTGAGTCCGAATCTTCAGGGTTATAGAGATTTATGATTCACAAAAAGCCTAGCTTGCCTCCTTCTCCTCCTGGCCCTCCTGGGCCACCAGGAGTACCATCCTTGCCTTGCTCTCCTTTCACAGTGTAAAGAATATGTCTCTCAGGATGGGGACGAGCTGCTTCATGAATCCCGAATGAGAAAATACCTGCAACGACGTTAAACGCAGTGCCTTCATCTTTCTCATTCCATCTCTTCTGTTCTTTCATTTGAAAACCTTCTTCTTTTGCTTGGTCAAATTCCTCAATAGTGGTAATTTTAGGAGCATTTTTCCCGGAACTTCCTGGGCTGCCATTTCTACCATGTTCTCCCTTTCTTCCACCGGCTCCACCTGACTGTACAGTTAAGGTTCCGTGATTAAGAAACTGTCAGGCAAGGACACTGAAGTTACCTCCATGAAGACCATGTCTGTCTTCATGCAAACCATGTGACCCATTATACAAAATATTATCCCCAATAACTTCGAAAATAGGAGATATGATACTAATATGCTTGCCTGGTAATTTAATACGCTCCGAAAGATCAAACACTCATCTCTCTGATACAAAGATATCTACATATTCGTAGTCCAGTTCAAGAAGCCGATACTTTATATCATTCATGTGGACTGTAGTACCTGTATATCTAAGTCTAAAAGTTTCATCGCTCTGTTTGATCCTCTTACATTCAAACTCATGAGCTATCTGTTCCATTATAGTATTATTCTTAAAATTATTATTTAACTTTTAAATTAACTAGGTTTTAAAGGGGTTTTGGGGTTTTGGGGTTTTGGGGTTTTGGGG